CAGATGAAGAATGGTTTAGGGAAAATGCTAACCAGTAAAAACGTTCAAGACGTGACAGACCTGCAAGGCAAATACAGCACATGTGCATAGTTGCTTGTGAATAACACGCATGAACTCGTATTCCATATGCGTATCTCCATATACTTTTCAAAGTTCTGGTTTAAATCAAATTTGATTCTACACTCTCCTTTTGCTCATCTTAAACTGGCATATTCAAACATTTTGATAAGAGCAGTTAAATTCCTTCATCTCATTGTACTGGGCAAAACTTGTCTCAGAACAAATGGTGTCATCTCTTTTATTGAATTTTGCATACTTGTCTATTTTTATTTATCCTTGTGCAGGTGAAATGAACTCATATCTACATACATTCAGGAGACTTTGAGAAGATAAAAGTTCTTCATCTCAAACTTCCTTACTCTTCTGTTTTCTACATTGCAGTACATATTTACACTGGTGTTCTGTACTTGCAAGTCTTGTGAAACTCAAGTCAGCTTTGCAGGGACAAATTTTTTTGAGGCAAGTTGGGTGGCTTGAGGACACCCGGTGCTGCAAGACTCCCCACACGGTGCAAATGAAACTCACAATGGAGCACCTATCCTGCATCTGAAAGGTGCTCAACTCAGTGACAGAGATGGTACTCACCTTCAGGTAACTCTTATGCAGACAGAGTGGATCCAGTACCTCTTCACTATTGGTGAAGTATATCTCGGTACAACACAGCCAGGATCCTCAGGAATCCTTGCTATTGAGTTCTATAGCAAAATCTTTGTAGATTATTTAAGGTCCACCTTGCAAATAGAGTTTACCAGTGGCATTAATTAGATTTCTTGAAATACTTCTTCCATTATATTACATGCTCATCAATGTGTCTCTGAGTCAGGAATCTTTGCTTAAGAATTTATAAGAAATCCAGAATGGAGAGCAGAACCCAGTTCCTTCCCATCTTACTTGGAGACCCTGAGCATAGGGATTGCAGATTGCAACTCCCAGTTTGAAGAGACATCAGTGATGGATATAGGAGGAATTCTGTATGTGTTCTTTTCAAAAGGGAGGTACAAAAATCCTATGTCATCTGCAATACTTCAGTGCTATTTGTTTACTCTGGAGACAAAGAGTTCCATTGGAATTCTCAGGCGTATTGTCACAAGTCAAGTAATCTGATGTACTAATATGTCACATCTGTGCCTGGGATAGGTCTAGGCACTTCAGCTGGGTGTCCTGTAAGTTCGATGATGTGTATGCATGTTCTTGAAATTGTTTTTGTCCTCATCTTTTTATGAACACAAAATGGAAATCACCATATTTTGGTCTGTTAAGCAATTTTTTAGGTTTTTTATCAGTATGTGTTTTCAATCCATAATAATTTTATCATAATTTTTGCTTAGCACATGTACATAGCACACCTTCTTCTCTATCCCTTCTTCATGACCTCACCATTTGTAATATTGATCAGGTGGCTTCAATGCAGGTGGCAGTAGAGTCAGCAGTAGTAAGGCCTGCTAATAAATAAACTGGTTAAAAATGGAGTGTCTGCATAAAACTTGGAGTTGGAGAAGCTGTTCTGAGTGAAAGGAGGAGAGCAGCTGAAACATGAGACTCATAAGTAGGTGAGTCTGCTACATTCTGTGTGGCCCCTGATTCTGTTATTTGATACAGAACGTCTCTATCTTCCATATATGAGGTCACACTTCATTACTCTTTCATTAAGAATTTGGATCTACCATCTGCATTGCATGGCACTGACGGATTTGTAGAAAAGCTAGTCTGTATTCCACAGAGAGAAGAACAAAACATTATACTCATGCATATCCCTTCATGGGAGGGAGGTGGACACGGGTGCTGCGCCACCCTTGAATGTTCAGGAAGAATTTGTTCACAGGCTTAGGAAAGGGTATGCTTCACTTGTGTGTTTTATTTTTAGTACCAATTGAATGTACTCTATGTGATCTAGTAGTTCTGGTGGGAAAAAGCAAAGCATCAACCTATGAAGAATGAAAGTAAAATCTGGGGGAAATTCCTGCAGGATATCACTGATCCTCGAGGCAGTAAATAAGCATGTTGGTGGTGCTGGGTTTCATGCATCAGAAGTGGGGAAGGTTCAGCTAATGAATCTTCACTTCTATGAAGTATTTACAGTATAACATGGGGTGGAACGTAGATTTTCTGCAACCCATTGGAGAAGAATTGAGGCTCTTCATGAGGTATGAATGGTATGTCAAGAATGTGAAGACACAGAGACAGAGACAGAGGAACAACAGTGTTGTGCTTAATATTCAGGTCAGGTCTGTGTGTGCATACGAGTACAAAGGAGCTCTGTGGTCCTCCTCTTTCTGCTTTTCATATTTCTCTCAAGGAAAATTTACAACATGAATGCATAGAAGCTATCTCTCTCCTGGTGTTATTTTTTGAGGCAGATAAGTCTTGGAAAATATTAAATACAAATTATTGGAAATATATAATTGACCATGTGGCAATACCTCATCTGTTCCCAATCTACTGCTTCTGTCATACATGATATGAGTTTTTAAGTAACTCTTGTGAAGCCGTTTGTCTGTGTCGTGAAGGAATACGACAGGTATTCTGTATGAGTTTTAGATGACATTATTGGGCCTGATTCTATCAGAGAAACAAATATGAATTTCCAAGGGGAATGCATAACAGATCCTGATGCCCTGTGCCCAAGCAGAGGCAGCACAAGCCTGTGCTCTCTCCTCCTGTCTCCTCTGCTGTCTGTTGCTTCAGTATGTTCCCCTCACAGATGTACCTCCTCCTGCAGCTCCTCATCTTTGATCCACTTCCTTGACCTTGATGTATTTAAAATGTGAGATCCTGTGATCATGACTAATTCTTGTTTCTTTCACCCTAACAATAAAGCCTAGGGTGTTGGGTCATTTACACCTGACATCTGCATCATTTTAAGAAGCATTGAATTGCTTTTACTTTGTTTTATGAACTGGATTGACAAGTGACAGCATCCATGCAGGACGTATGGTTGCTCTCACTGGATAACAATGTTTCCCCTCCATGTAGGATAATTATCAGAACAAGTTCTTTCCTGAGTGTCTTGTACCGGTGCAGGTTGTGGTGCCATTTGTCTGCAATCAGCCCTCCCTTTCTCTAGGGTGAGCCTTGTGTGATCTTTTTCAATATTTTGATTCAGACTGTAGGGCTGTTGAAGTTATTATGAGGGGTTTGTGGAACCCAGGAGCACAATGTGACCTCATGCTGGACCTCTTCTGTCCTCCAGTCATCCAGTGTCTCCTCAGCAGTGCTCCCTGCACTGTGGGCCTGAGGCTCTTCCTGCAACAGGTAGTGGGACCACTTGCAATTCTGGAACTTACTGTCTCTCCAGCTTTCTTGTTATCACTCAGTCAAAAGTTTTATTTACTTGAGGAACCTGTGAAATATTGTGATTTTAATTTTCCATATCTTCATAGATTTCAATATGAAGAGGATCGTCTTCAAAGGCTATACCAATCGGGATGTAGCAAGATGCATCTCTTATGCAAAAATTAACTCTTACTTGAATCAGGGTTTTCATGTCAGTTTTTGAAAATGATCTTTGCACAATCCTGGCTGAACAAGGAAAAACACAAAAGGAAACTTGTGAAATATTTCACAGCTTTTAGGAATCTGCAAGTAGTTGGAATTCAAAATAGCCAACAGAGAGGACCTGCTACAGTTCAGGTGAGATCGTATTCAGGATGATGTTCATGTCTTGTTGTAGAAAAAAACATGGACCTCAGATATTCGACCAGCAACAGGAAATATCAGTCCATGAGCAGAGGACAAATCAGGGATGATGCTGGTACTGCTAAGGTGCAGAGAAGATGAAGGATATAGAGGTTATTTGTCTTCCCATGATGAGTGTGACTGTGAAGTCCTTGAAAACATCTATGATATGAGGTTACATGTGTGAGAATGTCACCTCAGCCCCGCTTTCAGGAATCATGTATGTGTGCAAATGATTTTATGCTGTTCATTACATACTTGATCATGGAATATGGTGATCATTAGAATGACGTTACCATATAGAGTTGCATTTTTAATTATTGTAGAAAATTTTATTATTATGTAAGTGTTAAATAGAGCATTTAATGAGATAAAATAAACAAAATGTATAATGGCAGAACTACAAGATATTTTTTAGGACAAAAACGAGTATTACAAAACTGGAGGGATTTTCTTTGAGATTCTCTATTATTTCCATGATATGTACTTGAAAATTGAGAGAGATGAAAGATAGAATTGAGATATAAAAATGCAGTAAGGGAGGGACTGAATGAGAGAGAGAGAGAGAGAGAGAGAGAGAGAGAGAGAGAGAATGAGAGAGAGAGAGAGAGAGATTACACTGTATTATAAAAATTGCTGAATTTCTAAGTCAGCAAAGAAAATTAGACATCCAAATCCTGATGATCCCCTGGAAAGAAAGAGCACAACAAGTGTCTTTGATGCCAACCCGGGTCCAGTGAACGACCTTCTTCCTGTTTTATAACCACAAGCCTCTGCATAGTACTAGGGCTGACTGCAGGACTAGATTCAATGAAGTGGCCAAGGAGGACAAAGCTGTAAGTTCTCAGACTCCATGGTCAGGACTATTAAGGATATTTTTTCTCATCTGAAGACATTATTTCTTCATGAAACAATTCCACATACATCAGTTCTAAAGTAGAACATTCACTTTGTTATGTGGTGGGGTTATGACCTTCAAAGGAACACTGAATTCATCCAGTGTGCAAAGTATTCTGTGGTGAATATATGTCATGTTTACCCATCAAGAGTATTTATGAAGAGATGAAAAAGACATTGCTTCCTGTGTTCTTATGCAACTAAATGTAACAGAAAATGCGTACTTGAATTTGGAGACTTCACTGCAGCTCTAGCAATGCAGAGTCTCCTCAGGTCATGTGATGCTAAAACAGAAGGGAAACCTCAGAGGCCAACAGGAAGCCCTCCATCCACTGCTTCCTTCTTTGTACCATCTCCTGAGGCCCAGACTATTTCTCAAAATGGCACAGTGCCACCTGCTGGGTACTGGCGTCCCTACAAGGAGGTTTTTGTTTGGGCTCATGGAGGCATTTCTTCACTGTGTTTCTTGCACAGTAATACATGGCAGTGTCCTCGGGTCTCAGGCTGCTCATTTGCAGATACAGCATGTTCTTAGCATTGTCTCTGGAGATGGTGAATCGATCCTTCAGGGCATCTGCATAGTACGTAGTACTTGCGGTATACATGTATGCGATCCACTCCATCCCCTTCCCTGGAGCCTGGCGAATCCAGTTCATGCCATAGCTACTAATGGTGAATCCAGAGGCTGCACAGGAGAGTGTCAGGGACCCGCTAGGCTGTATTAAACCTCCTCCTGATTCCACCAGCGTCACCTCACCCTGGACACCTGCAATAGAGAAACATCATGTTGAGGAAATTGCCACTTGTCCACTGTTGCAGGAATGCATGTGCATTGATGCCTTCAGTAGCTTTTGTTCCAAATAACTTACCATTGAAAATTACAAACAAGAACACCCAGCTCATTGCTAGCTCCATGGTGAGTCGTCTGTGCTCAGTCCTGATCACCGAGTGTGCGCAGCTGGGCATCCAGTGTTGGGCTCCTGTGCAGAGCTGCAGGGTCAAGGCTCAGCAGATTTTCATCAGCCAAAGGGGAGGCCCTATTTGCATGGCCGCCTCCCATATAGGCAGCGTTGCAGATAAAAAACACTCCCAGGGCTGCACAAATGGAGAGTGCCTGTCCCAGCAAAGTTTGTTACCAATTATTTTATTCAAGACTATGCAAAAACTCATTTGTGCAACAGAAAATTCTCCTCCCCCAGCCATTGTTCTTCAATTTGTTAGTTACCCAAGTTACACTTCATGATCAAATTCTAGTCTCTGCTGTCTCTTAGAAATGGCTGCTCCTTATGATGCAGAGATGGCCAACAAGATGTACACTGTATAAATCAATCCCCAATTGGCCAGCATTTCTGAAGTAGGAGCTTACTGAGACAAGTAAAATGCACGACAAGCCTCAAAAACTCAACTAGTGTAACATTTCTTCTTTTGAAGTATTTGGTATAGGGTCTGCAGGGTCTACAAGTTCATCCTGTATGTAGGTCTCACTACGTAGATCACGCATAGTGATCTTCCTGATTTCAGCCTCTCAAGCCTGGGATTAAAGGTTCCCACCACTATGCCAGTCTCAACCTCTGTCTTAAGGGGCCAGGCCAACACCACACATCGAGTATTGATCCCCGACCACTGCGCTCCCCCTAACCAGGCACATTAGTGCCCTGAGCAATCTGGCTGGCACAACATTTCTTCTTACTTGTGTGCAATAATGCTATTTGACTCCATGTTTCTTTAACTTTGGACACCACTTGATAAGGCCCAGGTAAATCTGTCCATATTTTGAGGACTGTACCAGCTACCAAATTTTTTGCAGGTATGAACTGGATCCTGCAGCTCTCCGACGGCAGCTGAAGTTTCTGCAGACCCATGGCCTTGTGGCAAACGGAGCACCTAGGTCTGCAATATGCTGTGCTCGGGGGCCTATCTGTGTTGTCTCTCACTTCACACCTGTGCTGGCATTTCCTCTCTCAGGAGTCTCTGCAGTGGTTCCTCACTGAGCCTGCAGATGTCTGGTTCTACCTCCTAAAGCCAGATGAAGGCAGCAATGCACACAGCTCTTGGACTCCATGGACCTGGGGATTCAATGCCCCATGGAAATCATGGAAAGACATGGTCTGTGCTCACTGCAGCATTAGTCATGAGACCCATGCTGTTCTTTGACACAAGGGTGCCACATCTATTCTTCTTAAGGAAAGTAGCCCCAAAGTATTTCAAACAGACACTTGAGGAATTCTGAGGAAATCAGTCTGGAAACCCCATGTCAGTCATTGATGACCTTGTCAGTTGTCCAGGTCCTACACCCGACCTGTGGTGGGAGTAACAGATTTTTAATGATATTTGGTCTCATTTTTAAGCATCTGGCTTCCCTCTGTCTACATTACATGCCCTATCATGACCTCCATATGTCTTGAGTGTTCACTCTAGCAAATCTTGTGTCATTTATGATTTGTCAAGTCTTGTCAATTTGAGTTATTTAGTTTTAGTTTCCTCTGAGTTCATATTTGACACAATCGTGATACTCTTCCCAGTCATTGTGACATTAGAAGTGAACTCTATGGTACATTTGTTCCAGTTATTTCTTCTTGTTTTTTTTATTTTTGTAAATAATCCAACATGATTACAGAAATAAACACATATATAAGCAATATAAAAGAATCCTACTAACCTGTATTGAAACTGTATCATGCTGTTTTATTTTTTCTCATTAAAATAAATTTTAAAAAGAACTAATCTATCCAATTGGTATATACATATGTCAGGAATGTAAAAATAACAATAAAATTTTGAGTGTAGTAAAAAAATATTTCTCTGAAAAACAAAGGAGGAATTCAACAATGACTGTTGTATTGAAAGATGTTATCTTCAAATAAGTTGTTTAGGTTACCAGATAAAGAAGTTAAAAACTGGTTTAGAACAAAACAAACAAAACAGCAACAACAAAAATAAGAATACAAAGAAAAGGAGGGCTGGTGAGATGGCTCAGTGGTCTAAAGCACCTACTTGGAACAAGCTCAGCAAAGCACAGCAACCACGGTTCAATCCCCCAGCACCACAGGCCAGCCTGCCCCGCCCCCTGGTGGATTGAGCTGGCCAAACACACACACACAAAGAAAGAAAGAAAGAAAGAAAGAAAGAAAGAAAGAGAAAATTAAGCATTAAGTGCTCCTTTCAAAAGGCCAACAGAAATCATCAGTAGAATTATCCAAATTATCCTGTATATATACTTAAATGTATCTTTTTTCCTTCTTTGTTTTGTCTTTTATCTCCTCCCAGTTTTACATCCCATTAAACAAACCCTTTCCTTTTCTTGGAATCTGTTGTGTCTTTCAAATTTTTTATTCTTTCAGATTCTCACACTAGGGGAAGTAAAATGTGTGCACATGCGTGTCTGATTTAGGTCACATACAGTACATTCTGTAGTTGCATCTATTTATCTACAAAAGTCTTGAGCTTGTCTACTTTAGAGCTATGTAATACTCCACTGTGTGAAAATACCACATCTTTCTATCCATTCCTGAGGCAATGGGCATGTCTGCCCTGTTATGTTTGTACACCAGCGTAGGATGTGAACATCAGTATACTGCTGAGATTTTTTTCTTTTCGGAACAGGGGATTGAACTCAGGCCCTTGCGCTTGCCAAGGAAGCACTTATTCCACTGAGCCATCTCCCCAACCCCTTATTGCTGAGATTTTACAATAAACTTTGAATTGTAGGTGAGATTTTTGCACTTTTTTTTTGTCCACTAATATATGTTACACTTTTAGGTTTGGCTTTGTGCATAAATTTTACCCACAAGCAATAAGATCAAAGCTTACAGATACAGTTGCATGGGAATTTGTATATTATGTCCCTTGTGATTCTGGTGTAACAGTACATAATTTTCATGTTCCTCATTATAAGAGAACTGATGACTCATTCTAAGTAATCACTGCGTAATGCATCTGCTTATACTCCCTGCAGGCTGTAGCTTTGTTTACTGTATGTAATAATATGACAAATGTAGATGTTATATGTGGCCAGAGTCCCATAGAAATGGTTTTTGGATCTTCTAGTAAGTTTCAATACATACTCAGAAAGTAGTGAAAATGTTGATCGCCTAATTAGAGAGCAAACCATATCCAATATATGGGTAAAATTTCTCTGCTCCTCTTCTATGAAGTAGCATGCTTTTAGGTGGTAAGCTTTAGAAAACATGAAGAATGTTTAAACAGGAATGTCTGTTTGTATGATTGTGAGTAAATGTGGAGTTTCAACAGTCTTAAAGAAGGGCAATGAGTCACAGTAAGTTAAAGGGTAAGTAGGACCCAGGAACTCAGCAGGAAAAGTCTCCTCAGGATCTTACTACAGCTGCTCCTGTTATGGGACCCTGGCAGGACTGGATCCTGAATAACTTGAACACACTGTGCGTTCCTTGTCTCTCTTTGAAGGGACTGCACATCCCTGGGCTATAATTAGCATGACCTGCTGGTCTTCATTGTCCCAGAAGTTAGGTGTGGGGTTGAGCTCACCCTAAATTCTGCCCACTGTAGATACAACTTCCATCCAGATTTGGCCACAGTTGCCTGATCTTCACCAGGACCTAGCCCAGATGAAAACAGCAGGGTCGTGTTAACAGGAGTAATAATTTGAGTTCTGCAAATTTGAGAATGTGTTTTCTTAAGAATAGACTTGCTTAACTGAGACATCAGAGATAAGGGAAGTCATGATGTCAGAATATCAGCTATAAGTGTTATGTTGGAAAAATCCTCAATCATGACAGTAAACTAAATTTCACTTTCCTTTAAATGTCCTCTTATTTATATAAATACATGGTTTTGCCCCTGCAACACGATGTTAAGGCAATGGTCCTAAGAATCTCCATCAGGTTCTTGAAAATAGCAGTTAATGGGTAGAATTCTCACTCTGACTAACTTTATACGCTGATATCTGTGACCTGAGCCTCCACACTGAGGACAGCAATATATAATACTAAAATCATGCTTGAAATATGTGTCATTGAAATCTTCTAAATGAGAACTGATTCTAATGTCACATCAATTATTGTTATATTCCCTTTATAGTAAATATTTATGAAATAGAGGTAATAAAAGAAAACAAGAGAAAGAAAACAAAATAAATGTGTTCCTGGTCTGTATACAAGGAATGGAGTTGTAGATATTGCAATACAAAGAAATGAATTAATAGTAGAATACAAGGGTGTGGGATATATGTATTACATTGACAAAATCACTGCCAAATATCTAATGCAGCAGTACTTGTAAATTTTCCATAAAGTCCACTTCCTATAACTTCTTTTATTGTAGCCTTTAGTAAAAAAAAAAAAAAAAAAAAAATTCATACCGTATGAGACAGTCCTTTCCCATGTGCAAAAAATATCAAATTGTTTTTACTTGATGATCATCATAACTCTGTTCCAAAGCTTGTAAGTTCTTAAGATTCATACTTGTATTTCCAGTGTGTGCAAGTTGCTACTGGCATGTCACAGAAATTCGTATGAAGCGGGTGAAAAGTACAGGTGCAGTTAAATTCTGTCACTATAAAAACTCCTTTCATTTTCTGTAGTCTGAAAACTTCATATGTGGCCTCCCCCACCCCGCCCGCCGAGTAGGATTTTCTGCCGAGTTCCGGGAGCCCCCAGACCCAGTCCTAGCCCAGGTCCGGAATTGCTGCCGATTTCCGGGAACCCCCAGACCCAGTCCTAGCCCAGGTCTGCAGCAGGAAGGAGCTGAGCACAGCAGCCAGACCTAAGCCAGACGCAGCTGG